CCTGTGCAGAGGCCGGTGCCCCGGGCCAGACGCGGGGAAACCAGCGGCAGTGACCGCGTCGACCTCAAGACGCTCTGGGAAAAGCATTCATCGGCACGGCCCCGCGTGGGCGAGCTTAGATCTTTCACCTCGCGAGCACGCCGGCCAACGGAGCTGACCACAGCAGCGTGCAACTCGGAGGCAAGAGGGATGAATGATCCGCAAGAAACGTGCGGTTTCAGTGCGTAACTCAGCCTCAAGTTCTTTCCCACTTGCGAGCCAGCGGCCCTTCCTGCGAGGCGAGAGTTGCGCATGTTCCCACTCCAGCGCTTTGGAAAGCAAAGGGAACACCGAGGAGCCAGGACCTGAGCCAGCTGACAGCTTGGCAGGCTCCCTGAGAGCTTCCTGCAGCTCAGGACCCGCTGGTTTTGGAGCAAGCGCCCAGTGCACGCCCTGCAGGGAAGAATTTCCCGTCCTGTGCCAAGCACGGAGTCCACGTGCTCCCTGGCAATTGCAGCAGCCTGGAAGGACCAATGCACCCGCATTGATTCCAACCCAGCGCGTGTTCGGGGCAGGAAAAGTCAATTTCTTTAAACATCTCCTCTCTGGCTGAGGCCAGCTTCCTCCTTGCCCCCTTCCACTGAGGCCCTGCCTCCTCCTGCCAGCTGGAGCTCCAAGCCTCCCGCCCCCCTCACCCCTTTCCGCGGCTAGAGGAGCCCCAGCTTAATGGCCCAAGTCCCTGGCCACCAGCTAGAACTGAGCTTCAAGGGAATAGAGGAGTGAGTGCAAGGCTTCGGGCCGGAGCACGCTTGGGGCCATGGACTAGGGTAGGCTCAGACTCCCCTGCCCTAGGATACCCGCCGTGGCCTATGGAGTTGGCCGTTATCCTTTGGCAAAGCAGCACGTGCTTGTTGAGATCAATGGCCTCCCGGTATCCAGCTGCGGCGCTTCTCCACCGATCTCCGTGGACTGGTCACACCGACGAGGAAATGCTTTGCCGGGAGGCACCATATTGCCAAACATTTCCATGGCCCACAGCGTCATTCCGTCAGGTACTTGGCGCATCTCGGCTGATTTGTTACCACGTACATTTCTGCTCAGCCACGGCCGCAGGCAAGTGTGGCCAGTCTCCTGGAGTTTGCTCCCAGAAGCAGCCCATGCTGTCTCCCTTCGAGTGCGTCTGGAGAAAGAGGTGAAGCTTTTTTCCACTTTGTTAAACCGGTGAGTCCAGACCTTAGAAGGCTTGCTTTGAAAAAAATCCCGCCGGTTTACCCGCATGCACAGGGCGTCGCTTCTTCCAATGTCAACTGATTGGCTGAGCCTTGGTAGGGGGAGGGACTTTCAGGCAGTCCAGGGCTTTATAAAGCAGTGAGCAAGCGACCAAGGAGCTTGCGAACAGGTGAGTGCTAATAGGGAGTTTAGAGAGGGAGTTGGGAAGGGCGCGAGGTTCTCTTGCCTTTCTTTTTAAATCCTTTCTCCAGGACAGTAGGGATGGATGGCGATAGGTCTGCTGTTGTTACCCGCACAGCGTGTGCCATGTTTGTCTTCCGCCCGGAAGAAAGAACGGATTTCATCTGCACTAAGTGCAAGCTGGTCGCCATTTTGGAAGAAAAAATTAGAGGACTGGAGGCCCAAGTGTCGACCCTACGCTCCACCAGAGAGGATAAAGCCGTCCTCGATAGAAGGCAGTGTTCAATCCTGCAAGCACGTCAGGGCGGAAGTGCCAGAGAGGGCAGTACGGGACCAGGAAGAGAACTGGCAGCATGTAACTTCTAGAAGGGGAAAAAGGCCAGCACAGGAATCCCCCAATGCTACAGAGGTAAGTAATCGCTTTCAGGCTCTCTCCACAGGCTCTGCGGTGGTGAATGCTTTGGAAGGGACCTCACAAGGAAGAAACCACAAAGGAACACCATCTACTGGAAGGCATGGGATGTGTAGTCAGCAAGTTTGCAGATGACACTAAGCTAGGGGGAAAGGTAGATATGCTTGAGGGCAGAGATAGGGTCCAGAGTGACTTAGACAAATTGGATGATTGGGCCACAAGAAATCTGATGAGGTTCAACAAGGACAAGTGCAGAGTCCTGCACTTGGGACGGAAGAATCCCAAGCATAGTTACAGGCTGGGGACCGACCGGCTAGGTAATAGTTCTGCAGAAAAGGATCTGGGGATTACAGTGGATGAGAAGCTGGAGATGAGTCCAGTGTGGCCTTGTAGCCAAGAAGGCTAATGGCATATTAGGGTGCATTAGGAGGAGCATTGCCAGCAGATCCAGAGAAGTGATTATTCCCCTTTATTTGGCTCTGGTGAGGCCACATCCGGAGTATTGTGTCCAGTTCTGGGCCCCCCACTACAAAAAGGATGTGGACACGTTGGAGAGGGTCCAGCAGAGGGCAACCAAAATGATTAGGGGGCTGGAGCACATGACCTACGAGGAGAGGCTGAGGGACTTGGGTCTGTTTAGTCTGCAGAAGCGAAGAACAAGGGGGGATTTGATAGCAGCCTTCAACTACCAAAGAGGCTGGAGAGAGGCTGGTTTCACGAGTGACAGATGGCAGAACAAGGAGCAATGGGCTCAAGTTGTGGTGGGAGAGGTCCAGGTTGGATATTAGGAAAAACTATTTCACTAGGAGAGTGGTGAAGCGCTGGGCTGGGTTCCCTAGGGAAGTAGTGGAGTCTCCATCCCTAGAGGTGTTTAGAGGCCTCCATAAACTACATCAAACACGTGTCTAAATCAGTGCCCACTGCATCACCATATCACAGAACCTAGAGCAGTTATAGCTTGCACAGACTTTGCTAGTGATTTTTTAAACAGCCTGCTGGGAAACTCGGCAAATATCTAAGACTGGACGGACCCCCGGAAGACCTCTGCGTACCCCAGCGGTATACATACCCTGGTTTAGAACCGCTGCTCTACATCCTAGTAAAGAGGAGAGGGTAGAAGTTGGCAAAATATAAGTACAGGTTGAACCTCTCTGGTCCGGCAGGATTGTAGTTAGCCAGAAGGGTGTGGCCAAGTTTCCCGTGGTCCCATAAAGTTTGTTTGCAGCCACCAGGCCTGGCTCTCAGGGTTCTGTGTTGTTATTTATCTCTAATTTATCCTTAAGTGCCTTCTAAGAGCCCCATAAGCAGTGGAAGTTTCGGCAATGCTGTTAGACAATATTGACCTCTCATGGTCCGGCAAATTCTCTGCTTTGGCCCTGGACAGGTCCTAAGGGTGCCGGACTAGAGAGGTTCCACCAGCAGGAGCTGAAGAAAAACAATCAAACCAAAAAGTCCCATTCAATTCCATCTCAGAAGAAAGACAACTCAACACTGACAAACTTTGTAAGTGCGTCTCTACCTACACTAGAAGTCGAAATACTAAGATGTGCAAATTGGAGGGCCTGGCATTGAGTGAGGATATTGCTGTAATAGGCATCACAGAAACTTGGTGCAACAATCAACTGGACCGGGTCATACCAGAGTACAAAATACAGAGGCACGACAAAGTAAGTTGCATTGGTGGGGGAGTGGGACTGTATGTGACAGAAAGCAGTCAAATATAGTAAAAAAAAAAAAAAATCGGAAATGTATGAGATACCGCAGAATCTTCAGAGAGAAATTCCATGCTCTAACGATGACAGTGTAACACATCAACCATCTGACGGGGATAGGGATTGTGAAATGCTCCAGGAAATTAAAGCAGCTACAAAAACAACAAATTAAGGGGAATTCCAGTTGACCCCTCATGAACTGGGTACAAGTCATTTGAAAGAAGGATGTGGAGGCAGAATTTCTAGATACCATTAATGACTTCTTGGGCCAGCTAGTCCAGGAACCCACCACGGGAGAAGAAATTCCTGATTGAGTCCTACACAGAGCACATGATCCAAAAGATCAGCTGAATCATGCAGCAGCAGCAACCATAAACGTAGTACTTGAACATACTTGAATAGCAGAATAAAAAGCAAAAAGATACCCTTTTTTGGAAGTCAAATCCCCATCAGCAAAATACAAAGGAGCAAACTCTGGCAAGCCAAGTGCAGAAGCACGACAACGCAGGCCAAGAAAGAATTTGAAGAGCAAGTAGCAAAACGCGCAAAAACTAGCA